ACTGCGGCAGGTGCCACCTGGATGCCTCTAACAGATGAACTGTCCAGTTTGATGAACGATTAGTGATAAATTTGACTTATACCAGATAAGCCTTCTACAAGGCTTTGACTTATACCACGTAACCTTCTACAGGTATCACTTAGGCAGATCCTTGCAGTCGAGTCATCACTGGTAACTTTCTAAAGCTCACTTTTATCCAAACCCGAGGGAGAATGGGAAGTTTTCAAGAATGATGTTTTGCCAACATTTCTTTCCACTGCCCACAACTTCTATTTTTCTAAGATTGTGGTCCAAGCTTGTCAGCCCCATACCTTCACTGACCAATACTGTTATTGTGAACAACTCCAAGCCTTTGTAAAAGCTATGCACCTCGCCATGCCTAGAATCCCCTGTCTCAGCACCTTCACCTTAGGTTCAACTTAAGTGCCAGGAGGCCTGTTCAGATCTCCCTGTCGCTGCCCTCCCTGCTCTTCAAATTATTTTGTGCTTATCCGTGTATCCGTTCCCATCTTCCTCCACCCATCACAAAGAGAATGTAGGACAAGAATGTAAAATTGAGGATGAGAACAATTTCATATCTGTCTTTGGTTTGGTATTGGTAACTCCAACACCCTAGCATGTGCCATGAAACACAGAAAACGCCTAAGTAGTGACTACAGTGAATTTACACAGAGGGTATCCTCATTTCCTACATGAATGAGGTCAGTTTTAATCAAGCATCTTATCAAGCACATGGTCTGTGCTATAGAAGAAATTTGAGCTACCTGAGAACAAGGAGGGTTTTGTTTGGGGTTTTTGATTTGTTTTTGTTTTTTCTTGGGGGAGGGGATTCCTAGAATCTAGAAACATCCTAGACACTAAATTAATATATGTTCAATTGACTTCAAAGCAGAAGAATTTTTTAAATGAAAAAGTTAAGTTAAATTTTTAAGTTTAATTTTAAGGTAATCTTAAGTTAAATTTTTAAGTTTAATTCAAAGTTTAGTTATATTTAAGTTAAATTTAACTTTAAATTAAATTCAACATTTATTAAACATATCTTAATGAATGTTATTTTAAATTTCTATCCTTAGGTAGAGGAACTGAATTATATAAATAAAGAAAACAGGGGAAAAACGAATTTCATGGCACTCCCCATCACTGCAGCCACTCAAGAAAAACATGCATTCAGCTCCAAGTTCAGGAAGCTGGCCTTCATTTGCCGGCCTTGTTTAACTCACAGTTGCTATTTGGATGTGATACCTGCTGAGTTCTCTCACAAGAACTGTTCGTCTTTCAGGCCTAATGGATTTCATGTTGTCTGTAAGTGTGTACACATTCCATGTACCAATGGTGAGAGGAATCATCTTTGCCAAAGTTTTTGTACATTTATTTTTTGCGTGTTTCAATAACAGGGGAGGATCCTGACCTGCTGAGGTAAGCTGCCCAGGGTGAGGATGGGTGAAGCAGACAATTTTTAGGGCACCTTTTCTAGTCCCTTTCTCATGCCAGGAGGTGAGCAGTGTAGTCCTTCAAAAAGGTGGCTCAGATACCTGGGAATCTGCTGAATTCCTCTGCTGCCTCTGCCCAGTGAGAAGACAACTCTAAGGCCTGGGCTGCCTGTCTGTGTGCAGGGTCGTGGCTACAGCTCCCAGAGTATCCACAACTGCTGCTTCAATAACCATTGCCATAGGACTTTGAGGTAGGTAAAAATGGCAAAATGGTGTGCCTGATGTCTTTTGACTCACATATAAATTAGATTTAAGTGAGGCAGAGTTGCTCAAAGTAGTTGGCCTCATTCTGTCTTCCAGAGTCATCTAGGTCCAGTGTCAGGACAAAGTCAAGGTAACTGGAGATGGCTCAGAATACTGTAGATGACCTTGGTGTTTTCAATGTGTAACCAAGCTCTAAGCACTCTGAAGCACCTACTTCCACTGTCTTGACGGCCCACTGTAACAGACTGTTCACACCCATCCTTTCCACTGGGGGAAGTCTTCAAATGCTTGGGGTAGATATCCAAGTCGATGATGGGTTTGACACCTGTTAGTTACCCTCAACCTGGTTTAGCCCGTCTGCCAAAACAGTTTACCAGGGTGTGGCCTGTGCGTGCTCTAGCCTCCTGGAGCCATGGGTGAGAACTGAGCACCAGGTGGACACCAAAGGTGGAAAGCAACCCTGAAAAGGGCTCCACAGCCCTCACCCCAGAGGTCCTAGTTTTCCCTGACACCGTAGACCCTTACAAATTCAGCTAAGAGGATTGGGGATGGTGATGCCCAGGGAAATTTTAGAAGGATTAAAATAGTGTGGAATAACTATTGTGGAGGAAGTATGAAAATGGTAGAAGTAGGAAGGCCTGCCTTGCTGCTGGGAGGGCCCAATGGAGAGGAAATAACAGAAGCTCGTGCTGGACCCAGGCAATATGGTTTTGCTATTTTCTCCAGTTGTGTTCAGCGGCACATGACTGGGAAGCAGCAAACACAGTGTCATGGTGGGAGTAGTAAAGGGATGAGGGCTTGGCAAGGCATGATCAACAACAGGATCAGGGGCAAGGGACTTGGGAAGGGGAATGGGGTAGAGCTAAATCAGTTCACCGAGGACCAAGACAGGAAAGGAAAGAGAGTGCATCCAACATAGGCATGATAACCTAGGGAAGAACTGTGTGGTGATAATCTCTATCTTCTGTCCAAGGACAGCCCAGTTAAGTATGAAGATGCTCATTATGAGCAGCTGGTTAATAAGAAGAGAAGAATTCTTTAACCCTGGCAATTCATGAAAACAAAGGGGGGAAAAATCACATGACCAGTCCTTCCTCTGCTCTGAGGAAAAGTAGTGAGAAAGGGTGGAGAAGGCTAAAAACACCAGTTTCAAAAAGCTTGTGGACATTCTAAAAGCAATCGATACTCTAAATGTGTCCTTTACGCACAAGAGACCACTGAAGGAAGGGAACCGCGTCAATATTCGTATTTATGCTACAAATCAGACCAGGATAGAGCGAGTTTCATCATCAAGAAACATTATGTCATGGAACATCTGGTCTTCTCACCTTGTCATGCTCACGATGAGCTCACAAAATGACTCCTATGAAGGCAACTGCAGCACAGGTGACAATAGTGTACAAAAATTTTAAACTGCCTCTGGCCAGGGAGACTTTTCAGATGGCAAGTAGGAAAAACAGCCCACATTGTAAGGGAAGTCCAAGGTCCAGGAGGCAGTCAGAAACGGGAGGTCACACTTTAGCTGTTAGCCGTGTCACCCTTGATTCAGGGTTTTTACTAAAAATAAACCAATTTTTTAAGTTTAAACACATGATTGAATATAGAACTAAAAGAAATAGCATGGCTTCAGATTTAAGTGGAAAAAAATTAACTGTTCTGATTATAAAAGATTCTAATGCATCCTAGAACAAGAGCTTTTATTTCTGACAAGTCACTAGATTAGAAAGCAAAAAACTAAGGAAATAAAGTTATTCTTCTTGTGCTAGAAAGCTCTATTTTTGTCAAAATTACTAACATACTAACATTGACATTCTCCCAGAAGAAAATGTAACCACTAAAGATACAATGATAAATTAAAAATAATACAAGTTCTCTTTACCTTTCAAGGTAAAAATTATTGCCATTTACCTGAAAATTCCAGTACTTCAGAAACTAATGACAAATGGCTATCTTCTTTGATTAATTACATGCTACACTAAACACAAATAATTTCTTCACATAATTGAGTATAAACATAAATTTCATTTCTCTGATGAAAGTATGGCCATCTCAAAGAGAATTCTATCTAGAATTCTTCACTACAGGTTAAAGCCCAGGTATAGCACAATTCTGGAAGATCTACTTCCAACAGTAGTTTGTAACTACTTACGGAATCTTGGATAAGTCACTCGCCTTGATAAGCTTTAATTTTCCAAATTATGAAACAAGGAGATTGAGCTATAATGATCACTATGAACCCTTCTAGTCCTAAAGTTCTATTAACTATCAAACCACACACTTGCATTGACAGGTTCAAAAGGTAGGTACAAAGCAGGAGTACAAGAAGAGGTGAAGAAAAGTTCTTCATGCTGCACATGGCTGTTACTTGCACTAGTAGAAGGCTGAAGACTTCCATAAGCAATCCTAGCTTAAGTGACTACACCATAGAACACTGAGTTTCCAGACAATTTAATTTTCAGGTTTAGTGATTAGTGTACAAGTACACTAAAAACTTTGAATTAAACAGTCACACACACCCACTGCACTGTCTTCAGCTCATCTGTCTGTTCAACTGTTGTCTGATGTGCTCAAAATGGGTTCTAAGTAACCTTTTTAAGGCAGACCCAAGAGCTCTTTTCTTCATTAATTATTTCCACACATTTTCTTCTATCAGAATGGTAGCACAAATTCTGGCATTCTAGAGGAGACCCTGACCAGAGAAAGAATACTGTCACTGTGGTCTAGGTCTCCATGGTTGTGACAATACTCTCAAAACAAGGCCCTGCACCTAACTTTTGTAAACTCGTAAAACACTTCTGATGTCCACAGGCAGGATATATTTCCCTTTGCCAGGACTAGTACTGTGAGCAAAATCTACTAACAATTTACCGGCTGGTAAGAGACAAAGGCCAGGGAACATTAGTAAATCCAAAAGGCTGATGCATCTACAAAAATGAGGTAGCATGGTCGTCTAGCTGCCAAGACAGTATCTGCAATTACCAGCAAAGGCCCAATAACTATGAACTTCAAGTCCAAACAATACTATATTTGTAGGGGAAATGGGGGGAAAGACTCTGCTAATAATTCTTTCAAGTGTTCTTTGAATAACATTTTCAAATGAATTGTTGTACTCAATAAAATGTCACTTCAATACATTTTTGATGTTAAAATTTTATTTGATAAAATGCTCTACTTTAAAAATATTGACAGAAGAAAAAAGATCACCAACCCAAAAGGAGGATTTAATAAGTTTCAAGTTCATTTATACCAATGTATTGGTCTCTATCTGCTTTATACACACACATATAAATTATTGGAAGTCCTTACCAGAACTTCTCCCTCAAAGTCCCATAAATCTCTGATGTGGTAGCAGTACAAACTTTGGTTTTACACCACCTGAAAAACAAACCACATTATGTCACTTTCCCCCCCCACTCTCATTCCTTACAAATGAAACATTGCCTACAAAACCAAGCCCATTTGCCACTTGTCTCTTACAGCGATAAATCTTTAAAATGTCCTATCATGACCCTTTTGATTTGTGTGTGAAATTACATTATATTCTAGAAACTAATTGTAAATTAGCTAAATGAGCTAAAGTAACTCTCAATGGGTCTGAGTTCAAGTGCATGTATGCACACCCTCCCCCCCCACCCCACATGTATACATGTAATAACAAAGGTTGGGAGGCCATGGGCAAGTAAAGTGGAAATCAATTTAAATGTAAATACTGTTAACTTCCTTTTCCAGAAAACAAAAGCAAGCTTTGCTATGATATTCTACATCTGTATTTTGAAAAGAGTATTTTGAAAACAATACACACCAAGATGGCCTTGGGAGCATGTCTCTGTGCTTTAACAACAACAACAACAACAAAGTCTATTTTACCTTTAATAATAAAAGCTACAAGCTTGTTCTCCATAAAATATATAAACTTGATTCTTTTTAAGTTTAATAGAGATAAAATTGGGGTCAGGAGATTTATGCATCATTAAATGCATCTTTATGGCCACTCTTTAAAAGCCCAGTCTAGGGTCACCATGGGGCTCTTGAATGCATCCAAACTTTGGAAATGGAAGTCCCACCTCCCACTTCCCACCTCTAAATTTGATATTTGTAGTTTGAAGCTACTATTCCTAGGAAAATGTGCTTCCAGCCTGCTAAGGAATTTAAGACCCACCGAGGACCAGGGTGTTCTAGCTATTTACCCTCTCCAGCCCTATGCCCTAGACCTCCAGCAAAGCATTAGTTCAAGTGGGAAAATGAGGAGCTCCAATGAGCCCCAGCCTGCCCAGCAACTGAGCCCCTCCTCCAGGAGCGTGCAAAGGAGCTAAAGGCCCACATCTCTGTCTTCTGATGTCCAGCTTGCTAACCTCAATTCCTCTAATCCAACTACTAAAGCCAAAGATCTTTTCAGCCACGTGTGCTTTCAGCAATGGGGCACTTTCTCCACCAATGAAGATCAAACCCCCTCTCAATACAACCTGATTTCCCCAAGTTGCTGTGGCTGAACACATATAGTCTGGCAGTCAGGCTAGCATGGAGACTCTCCCAAATTTGACAGGCTGGCCCTTGAGTGGCAAACAGCCCGTCCATCAATCACCTAGATCAAAGCCTTGACAGTTTATTAGGCTTTGTCAAAATTTACACTCTCCTGGAATAAATTCATCAGGAAACCCAAAGTTGTACCTTCACAACAATGAAGAATCAAAGGAACACTTCAGTGGGAGAAACCCTAAAATGAATTCATAGCTAAATTTAGTCAAGAAGAAAAAAAGTTGGCAGCAGCCATTCAGTCCTCGGAGTTCTCTCTCTGTCTCTCTCATTTCATCCCTAGCACCTCCACTATGTTATGGCCAGTTTTGAGGCCCCACTCAAACTATTCAGATGTCATTCACAACCCTGTTCTAGGATGCCCTAGAAGAGCTCTTTGCCACTCTTCTGAATGCCCATCCTTTCCTGGATCTCTTTGTATCACAATCTGAATTAGAGTTTATGGACATGTCTGGAAGCTCCACAAGGCCAGCAGGGAACAGGTCCATTTCCTTTGATGTGCTAGAAGCTCGGTGAATATGTGAGGATTCAGTGACAGTTTTTCCTCCTGACCTCTACAAGGGAATGCTGGAAGCATCACACAGCTAGCTATGCCCAGTGAATGAACTACAAATAGGAGATTGAATCTCTGCCACCATTTCCCATTCCCCAAGAAACGACAAAGGCAACTTTACCTTTGCTCCCCTTCCCTTCTCTTTTCTCCCTTTCCCTTCCCTTCCTTACTCTAGACTAACACAGAGAGGATCTTACCTCACAATTCACTGGGAACAGAAGTTAAATGACATGAGCTTCCTCCCTCCCTTCTTCCCAAGGCCAACTCCTCTACCTGGACTCTAATCCAAATCCCTCCCAAATCATCTCCTTTAGATGGTTCCCACTTTTCTTACTAATATCTCCCTTCCTTCCCTTCTACCTACAAACATGAACGGGTCTTTGGGGCAATTAGGGAGCGTAGTTAGATAGAGCACCAACCCTGGAGTCAAGAGGACCTGAGTTCAAACCTGGTCTCAGAACAGACACTTGACACTTACTAGCTGTGTGACCCTAGGCAAGTCACTTAACCCCAATTGCCTTGCCAAAAAAGAAAGAAAGAAAGAAAGAAAGAAAGAAAGAAAGAAAGAAAGAAAAGAAAGAAAGAAAGAAAGAAAGAAGAAAAACAGAAAAAGAAAAAAAAAGCCATGAAGGGATCTTGGCCATCTTTCTGAAAAAGAAAAAAGGAAATAAAATGACCTTCATTTGATGCTACCATCCTCTCAAGCGTTCATCCTATATCACAACCTGCCCTTTCACAAAGACTTACCAAAAATGTTGCTGCTTCCACTTTCTCCTTCTACTGAAAGGGAGATACTTAAAACTGAACTAGTTATCTTTCCCCCCAAACTCCCGCCTTCCTACAGAGCTTCCCCATTCCTGTCCTCTTACCAGCCTTGCTGTCACCCAAGTTTACAAGCTCTGAGAAAACCCTGACGTTCCTGCTCTCTACCTCTTGAAATCAATCCAACTCTCCTAACCTGCATGGCCACCACCATTCAGGCCAGATGACAGCAATAAACTCCCCAGTTGAAGACTTGCAGTCTGGTCATTTCTCTCACCAAGTCATTCTCCACGAAGCCACCCAAGAGATTCCGATCAAGTCACTCCAGCTACTCCAAAAGCTTCAGGGGTTCCCCAATACATTTAGGATCACAAAGTTTTGCTGGGCACCTGAAACCATCATAACTTGGCTCTAGCCTACCTTTCTAGGCTTTTTACATAGGCTTTCCCCCTTCTCTTAAAGCAATTTATGAGCTCGTCAGTTCAGGAGCCATCTTCCCACCTTCCAGGATTCCAACGTGCCCATACTGTGGGATTCTTGTCCACGCTCTACGTGTCAATGTACTCTAGGGGGTCGAGGAGACAACATCACTTCCTCTTGTGCTAAAGGTACCAGGGGAGCACCCTAGTAGTAGTTCACGTGCCACTCCTCCTTCCTTGTTCCATGATCAGTCCGTCCAATTCAATGACACCATCTTTTGCTCTGATTCTCTGAGGAACCTGATATGCTACACATTGCAGGCCACTCATGCCCGCCAAACACCTCTAACCCATCATGCACCTCTACAGTGCCCTCTGCACAAGAGTCATTTTAAAATTCTTTGGAAGCAGTTTTATTGTGTTTCACTGACAGAAAGCAACACTTGTAGAATGTTAGTATTAATAAAAATACGGACCTGTACTTTCAAAAGCAGTCCAACCTGTTCTCCTCAGATTTAACTAAACTTAACTCACTCAACTGTATTGTCTGTCTTACATATGCATGTATATCAATGAAGTTCTACAGGGTACCCATCTTTGGATTCTTTTCCATACATCATATATTCTAGCTAAATTAGCCTCCTTGCGGTTCCTCACATAGCTCTCATCTGCATCTTTCTGCACAGTCTGCTCCCATCTCCGAAATGCCCGCCTTCCTAACTTTTATAATCCCTGGGTTATGAGTTATTATCCTTTCCATGCTTGGTTCAAGTGCTACCTCCTTCCTATTGAAGCCTTCACTCACTCACACACACACACACACATATTTTCTCTCCCTCCCCTTAAGAGCACCTCCCTCCTTAAACTACTCTGTATTATTTGGATGTGTATGCAATTTTTTCCCAGATAGAATGCAATTTCTTTGACGGCAAGGGACAGTGATATTAGTCTTTACAGCTGAGCCGCCTCACACGGTGTCTGTCACATAGTAAGTATTTACTGAATGCTTGATTGAAATTTTAATCCGTGTAGTAGATAATGTCAATATCCATGCTGCCGATACTTAAAATCTTTCTCTCCCCAACTCCACTAACTTAAGTGGATATAATCTATCTCCTTTATTTTCTTTTACAAATTATACATTCTTGATATAGTAATAAGAAATAAACAAATAGAAAAATTATTTCATGTGCCAACCAAAACAATTTCCTAATACAGGAAAATACGTAGGTACTAAACTTATGTAATAAACTCTCAATTACCACTAGTACAGGTAGTGAATGGTACAAAGACAACACAAAAGTACATCTACTCTACTTAGCCCTCCTTTGAGAATGAACTACAGACAGAAAAGTTATGATACAGCCAGGAATCTCAGTCCTCATCCTCCTAAAAACTTTATGGGACACAGATGCATAGAAAAATATAAAATCACATTATCGAGCATTACCAAAACCTCAAAAAAATTAGATGGGCAAAGCTCAACCTAAAAAGTTTTTCAAGTCGTTAAAAGAAAAAAAAAGCAAAGACCAATTTTAATGACTTTTAAATCAAAGAATGTACCACAATAGGCAAAGAGCTCCTCTTATAGTATTAGTATGCACAGTTCCACCCTCTACCCCCATAAAACGAAATCATTTGGAAAATAAAGTAATAATATGTACTGGGAAAAAAGTAAAATAATACTGACATGAGAAAAAAAAATACTACTTTTTCTAAAAGTAAATAGGTTCTGAATGACAGCATTTAATGCAGCAGCACAAATTAAAATCAACCCAGGAAAATTGGGAAACATAAAATGGCAAACCTACATTAGGATTAAAATTTGGAATTCTTTTAAATAGAAAAAATCCAAAGCATTTTATGCTTATGCTGAAACATCAATATTCACTCTACATACGGTATTTTTAAATTTAACAAACATATAGGATACAACTTCTTTATAAAGTACACAAAGAGCTGTCAGTTTCCCTCTTCACTTTAGACTGAGATCTTGGTCACTAGCAAACAAATAGCCTGAGTTTACCAAATCACTGAATTTCTGACTGTGATTTCATGAAACTTCTAGATACAGCCTCGTATAATCATCCAACCAAAGCCAAAGTCAG